TATTATTTATTTAACTTACCAACAAACAGAAGAAGAATGGCACAGATCTTCATCATCATCATCATCATCATCATTTTGGATAGTTGGCTTTGCTATTTTAAAAATATAATAACTGATTTGTTAGTTTCAGTTTAGTAACTATTCATTAACAACTCAATAGTGTTTTAGACAAATCTGGATCTTCTTACTGATTTTTTACAAGCATTATTTTAAATTGCTGAATTAACAAATTGTAGTGAAGCTATTTCTTGAAATACATGTTATAGCTGTCATTACATTTTCCACTACGTCTGTAAGACAATTTGTTTACTGTAAATGCAAACTACTACCATTTCTTATGTTCTATGAATTATGATTGTAATTGTGTTACCGTAAGCGTCTACACTGTTACTGGAAATCATTTATTTCGTTAAAAGTTTGAAGTTAAAAGCAATAGTCATATACCTATATAATAATATAGTTTCAATTGTAAACCCACACAATAGCAAAACACCAATGATAAAGGACGAATGTACAATTGTATAATTACACCTTTATTGAAGACAGAATGTAATCACATCTTGCTTTGATGAAAATTGGACAAATATCCATCATAAATGTACTTACAGACTTTGACATTGACTTGTCTTCACTGCAGTGACTGAAGCTGTGGTGCACTTTGATTCCACTTGTTGTTTATCCTTTGCTTTTTGCTTGTTGATGTCCTACACTGAACAAACAGCAACGTTTATATCCACACAATGAGGACAATTCTCTGAACAAATACGAAAAAGATTGTATTAATAATGCTTTTTCCGTTGTTGTATGATTAGCCACACCTTTCATCCATACTTCCTTTATTGATATAGATGATATGTTTAGTGATTAAAGAAACTGGTTGGATGAGTTTTATTTTAGACATGACGTTGGATGCAAACTTTTGGCAGAGGTGGCATTAGCTATGAATATGAACTGGTCGTCTGTCACATCTCTCGTGTAGGTGCCGTCTCGCCCTCAGATCTAATGCTCCTGCTGTTGCTGTTATTGCTGTGTGTCTGCTTTGACATAAAGTATGTTGGTCTTCAAGTTTGCTGTCTGCTGTAATTAACAAAAAGTACATGAATATCGCGCACCATTTACCTTGACGTCAATATATAGACAGTCCTTCTCCCAGCGTCCCTGTGTAGTGGAGACAAAAAAAAACCTACATAAGAGTAACTATAAAGAATCACTGTAGAAATACCACAAATGATAATAGTAATATCTGTATTATGGGAGTAATTGTGCTTTTTTTGGTTAATAAAATAGCACTACAACAAAATTAATAGTTATAGCTGGGGGAAAATACTATAGAACATTACAAACGTATTATAAGACACTTTAAAATGATTATAGTATAACCTACTATAGTAGTCCTCTAGTTCATTTTCATTTGCACACTTATCTGTTGTAGAGACCAGGGATGGTTGTAATACGGTTCAGTTGTAACACGTCCACTTTCTCCAATCAGGATGAAGTAACAAATCACCTGATTCATTCTGCACATGTTCAGTTTAGTCTTCCACAGTAGTGGCAGGCAAAGCCAATTTTAGAAAGAAACAAAATATTGTTTTCAACAATTTTTGTTACCTGCACACTGTAAGGCTACAAGAGTTTGGATTAGAGGAACCAAAGAGTCTGGGTTGGCTGTAAGAACAAAGAAAATGTTTAGTTGTATTCATGTGTTTTCTTCGTCTGACACACCTTATTGTTTAATTGTTTTTGTTAATTGTAAGACCTGTAGGCTTCTCTGTGGGCCTATGAGGCCTGCACTCCACGTTTTGTTAAATTTTTTCATTGTGTTCACTACTATGTCACTGATTATGACTGACTGAGTAACTAAGATACTTTGATCACCCCTACAGACACACACACACACACACACACACACATACAAACCAATTACATAAAAAAATCCTTTCAGTGTTGAATAAACACTTTGAAAATCCTGCTTTTCTCACCTTCATTATTATATAATGTTACATTTCACCCTGGGTATGTTATAACTAACCCAGACTATGGAGTGAATTGTAACATTTTACTCCTTTTGTTTGAAACTAAACTGTGCATTTTCTGTCTGTGTTGCAGAGACAGCTACTCCATTTAATAGCAGACACATGTAACTATCCTGTATCACATTCTGAACGCACTGGCTAAAAAGAGCTCTGAGATACAGACAGAAATGTCACAAATGTAACAACCATCCCTGGTCTCCCCTCTGGTTCATGTACACAAACATTATGTACAATTAGGCAATTCGTGATTACATGTTGTCAATTTGTGCACTCAGTTATTTTCTGGTCCTATTCAGGTCACAGGAACAAAATGTAACAACAAAACTGTCTGCTTTGTTAAGCAAAAATGTCATTTTTCAGTTTTTGATTAAGGGAATAGTTTGGATTGTTTCTATGCTGAGCTGTCAGTGATGCAAACTATTCATTGAACCTGAAGTCATTTTTTTGCTTTTGTCTGAATTACACCACAATTAAACAAGACAGTCAGCCTGCAGGTCTCTTCTGTTGGGATTGTTCTGGTGCAGGCTCCGCTCTCAGGGCTGCTCCAGATCAGGAAATGCATGCAGTGCCATAGATTTATATTTAATTCATAAGTCAACATTGTAACATGAAAACTATAAATTCTTTCTAGTTATTTGTAACAGTTGCTTTTACAACAGCAATTACATGGTAAAAGTTTTGTAAATGAGTGAAGCTGCAACCTTTCATGGTAACTGGACAGTAAAGCTGGGCTCTCATTTGGTAAAAAGGGGGGATGCAATAATTCTTTCCTCTTTCTCCTCTCTGAGCGCTCTGAGCTCCTATTGGTCGGTGTCATGAACATGTCATGCAAGACAACAAAATTTGGATTTTCCAGTCTTTGTGTCTGGACATTGTGAGTTGCTCTACATGCTGCATCAATAACTGCCATCATCTTCACTTCCAAACTCTCAAAGTGACAGCATTTGGCCTGATGCCAAAGATAAAAACAGGAACAAGGAAATATTTTAATGCTTCTGCAGATATATGTTGACATATTTCATTTGTTTTTCAAACATGCAAAATGTCCCAAATTAATTTACTTTTAAATTAATAAATGCCCTTTTATGAAGGCCTGCCGAATCAAACTTTCAGTAAAATGAATGAATTCTAATTTTGCAGTAAATGAAATGACCCACATGATGACCTTTCACCTGACGACCTCATCCGTGACAACCCTCTTGTTTAGACACCGTTAGCGAATCAGCAGCACCTACAGGACACCTTCGATACCGCTGGGAAGTGGGGTTTGCCGCAATGTGCTTGTTGTGGGTTGTTAGATGTATTTTATAAGAAAGATGCAAAAGAGCGCATGCACAGTATTTGTTTATATTGCTGTGTGTCACCTGTAGAAGTAACGTTAGCTGCAGGCTAACACGATGCTGACAGCTAACATTACTTCCACACACAGATAAACAAAGGGGCTCTGTTCACTTCGTTCTTGCTGTTTAAGGGAGAAAAGTTTCATGGGCGTCGAGAGGTCTGATCTTTTTTTTTTATTTTGACTAACAACTTTTCATATGAACTAGGATATTTACATTAACTTAATAAAAGCCTCGTGCCTTAAAATAATTATAACAACTTTGGTAAAACAGGCTTACTGATACTCCGACTTATAGACTATTTACCAGCCCTTTTTAAAATGATGAAATTCAGAAGAGTTTTGGAATAGATTTACACTTCAATAGCAACAGTAGTGTTTATAACAGGAAAACTAATATAAAAACTCAATAACTAGAAATACATATAAAAATGTCAGTGTCAATGTAAAATAAATAATATTCCTGACATCAAAGTTAAGAGTGAAGAAGTATTGACCAAAAAGGTAACATGCAGCAGTAATGATAGTTTATTTATTAGGCATATGATTAGACATACAGTATAGTCAATAAAAATCTAAATATATCTCAGATTCAAAATGCAATATATAAAATCATTGTCACAATAGTGCATACTGTAGACACACAAGCAAGCAACACACAGACAGAGAGACACAGACGCACACCTCTGTCTATAGATTTGTCTGTCTCACTCGCACTGCGATGGCCACCCTCATCCTTTCCCCCGTTCATTTTTTCTTTTCAGATTATTTCCCACACTTTTTGAATCTGGCATCTTATTTTCTCTACATGCGGCTCTCGGTGTGCAGCAGTCTCTGGGAGCGTCTCCCTCTTATTTTCTTGTAGAAGTCAGCCTTAACCCTAACCCTACAGCAGGTCAGTCACTGTGAGCCAGTCCCCAACACTCAAAAATCTTTACATCTTTTCATGGTCACATAATGGTTTAATCAGCTAATATATATGCTATTTTTGTTTTAATATCTCTATTCACAGATCACCTCCAGTAGTATCAGCAGGAACAGTAACAGCAACATCCCCAGCAACAGCACCTGTTCCCTGTAAGTTATGTCAGCCCACAGTATTTGCTGATGTATCGATACAGAAGCATCTGTATATGCATTTCAGCAAGGAATATAAAACAATATATTTTAAATCCTTGTTCCATGTGCCCTATTTTATACTTTGAGCACCTGCCCTTCCAAAGCTCTCTGCACGGCCCTGATGCAAACCAAATTAGTGTTATGTTAAAATTATTTATCACATGATTATCGCTTGATGTTTTCAATTCAATTTCCCCTTTATCAGACAGAAACCTCAAGCAGAACCTAGACTCAGGTGGGGTTCCAAATAATGGTAATGGGTAACACCACATTTGGTCCATAAGCAGGAGAAGTGTGTGTATAGGGCTTGTATAGTGGAGGTCTGAACCACATTATATAGGGACAAATTGTGCCTATATAATGTGGAGTGCTTAAAAATCAATTTACTTTAAAAAGTCATTCTACACAGTGCTATATATGTAAATTACCAAGTGTAAGATAAAAGAAGTTAAAAATAATGAAAATATTTAACAAATTCATTAAAATGGGGGAGAGCAGTTCTAATAAAACACTGCTAAAATCTAAGATCAAGAATTTTTCCCTCTCTGAGAAAGTTGATTTACCACCTCTTTGGCTGGGCTTAATCACTTCTATGCCTAAACAATATGACGATGAAACGTGGTGTTTTACATTTGGTTATTGCTGAAGCAGCTGTGGTTGCTGTTGGAGCAGGTGTGGTTGTTGTTGGAGCAGGTGTGGTTGTTGTTGGAGCAGGTGTGGTTGTTGTTGGGGCAGGTGTGGTTGTTGTTGGAGCAGGTGTGGTTGTTGTTGGGGCAGGTGTGGTTGTTGTTGGAGCAGGTGTGGTTGTTGTTGGGGCAGGTGTGGTTGTTGTTGGAGCAGGTGTGGTTGTTGTTGGGGCAGGTGTGGTTGTTGTTGGAGCAGGTGTGGTTGTTGTTGGGGCAGGTGTGGTTGTTGTTGGGGCAGGTGTGGTTGTTGTTGGAGCAGGTGTGGTTGTTGTTGGGGCAGGTGTGGTTGTTGTTGGAGCAGGTGTGGTTGTTGTTGGGGCAGGTGTGGTTGTTGTTGGAGCAGGTGTGGTTGTTGTTGGGGCAGTTGTGGTTGTTGTTGGGGCAGGTGTGGTTGTTGTTGGAGCAGGTGTGGTTGTTGTTGGGGCAGGTGTGGTTGTTGTTGGGAAAGCCATAGTTGTTGTTGTTGCCTCTGTAGTAGTTGTTGCCGCTGATGTGGTTGTTGTTGGGGAAGCCGTGGTTGTTATTGTTGCCGCTGATGTGGTTGTTGTTGGGAAACCCGTGGTTGTTGTTGGGAAAGCCATAGTTGTTGTTGTTGCCTCTGTAGTAGTTGTTGCCGCTGATGTGGTTGTTGTTGGGGAAGCCGTGGTTGTTGTTGGGAAAGCCATAGTTGTTGTTGTTGCCTCTGTAGTAGTTGTTGCCGCTGATGTGGTTGTTGTTGGGGAAGCCGTGGTTGTTATTGTTGCCGCTGATGTGGTTGTTGTTGGGAAACCCGTGGTTGTTGTTGGGAAAGCCATAGTTGTTGTTGTTGCCTCTGTAGTAGTTGTTGCCGCTGATGTGGTTGTTGTTGGGGAAGCCGTGGTTGTTATTGTTGCCGCTGATGTGGTTGTTGTTGGGAAACCCGTGGTTGTTGTTGGGGAAGCCATAGTTGTTGTTGTTGCCTCTGTAGTAGTTGTTGCCGCTGATGTGGTTGTTGTTGGGGAAGCCGTGGTTGTTATTGTTGCCGCTGATGTGGTTGTTGTTGGGAAACCCGTGGTTGTTGTTGGGAAAGCCATAGTTGTTGTTGTTGCCTCTGTAGTAGTTGTTGCCGCTGATGTGGTTGTTGTTGGGAAACCCGTGGTTGTTGTTGGGAAAGCCATAGTTGTTGTTGTTGCCTCTGTAGTAGTTGTTGCCGCTGATGTGGTTGTTGTAGGGAAAGTCGTGGTTATTGTTGTTGCCCCTATAGTACTTGTTGCCACAGCTGTGGTTGCTGTTGGGGAAGCCGTGGTTGCTGTTGCCGCTGATGTGGTTGTTGTTGCTGGGAAAGCCATGGTTGTTGTTGTTGCCCCTATAGTAGTTGTTGCCGCTGATGTGGTTGTTGTTGCTGGGGAAGCCATGGTTGTTGTTGTTGCCCCTATAGTAGTTGTTGCCGCTGATGTGGTTGTTGTTGCTGGGGAAGCCGTGGTTGTCTGTGCGTTGTTGGAAGCTGTTCAGCAATGTAACGGGTCATCAGTATAATTTTCAGACTTTGATCAATTCAATTCAGTCAACTTTTTTAATCCCACTACGGGCAAATTGAAGATCCCACATTTCAAGGCATTGTATACAAAATATTTAATTTTTTATTATTTAAACTTACCAACAAACAGAAGAAGAATGGCACAGATCTTCATCATCATCATTGTGGATAGTTGTCTTTGCTATTTTAAAAATATAATCATTTATTTGTTAGTTTCAGTTTAGTAACTATTCATTAACAACTCAATAGTGTTTTAAACAAATCTGGATCTTCTTACTGATTTTTACAAGCATTATTTTAAATTGCTGAATTAACGAAATGTAGTGACACTATTTCATGAAATGCATGTTATAGCTGTCATTACATTTTCCACTACAATAATTGGTTAACAATAAATGCAAACTACTACTGTTTGTTAGATTCTATGAATCAAGATATTAATTGTGTTATTGTTAAAAGTTTGAAGTTAAAAGCAATAGTCATATACCTATATAATAATATAGTTTCAATTGTAAACCCACACAATAGCAAAACACCAATGATAAAGGACGAATGTACAATTGTATAATTACACCTTTATTGAAGACAGAATGTAATCACATCTTGCTTTGATGAAAATTGGACAAATATCCATCATTAATGTACTTACAGACTTTGACATTGACTTGTCTTCACTGCAGTGACTGAAGCTGTGGTGCTCTTTGATTCCACTTGTTGATTATCCTTTGCTGTTTGCTTGTTGATGTCCTACACTGAACAAACAGCAACGTTTATATCCACACAATGAAGACAATTCTCTGAACAAATACGAAAAAGATTTGCATCAGTAATGCTTTTTCCGTTGTGTAAGATCAGCCACACGTCCATACTTCCTTTATTGATATAGATGATATGTTTAGTGATTAAAGAAACTAGTTGGATGAGTTTTTTTTTTTTAGACATGACGTTGGATGCAAACTTTTGGCAGAGGTGGCATTAGCTATGAATATGAACTGGTCATGTGTCACATCTCTCGTCCAGCTGCTGTCTCGCCCTCAGATCTAATGTATTAGTTCCTGTTGGTGCTGTTATTGCTGTGTGTCTGCTTTGACATGTTGGTCTTCAAGTTTGCTGTCTGCTGTGGTGTAAAATGTTCTCTAATTGGTTTAAATTGTTGTCAATAACTATTAGATATAAGTTATTTTGGTATAGTATAGCCTAGTATAGTACGCTATACTATAAGAATAGTTTGCACACTTCACTACTACTACTACACAGTCCGTCATAGAAGAGACCGGGGATGGTTGTAATAAGGTTCAGTTGTAACACGTTCCCGTTTCTCCAATCAGGATGAAGTAACAAATCACCTGATTCATTCTGCACATGTTCAGTTTAGTCTTTATTCCACATGGGAAAAAGTACCCCTGTGGCAGGCACAGCCATTTTTATAAAAAAAAAGAAACTTAAATTATTTGTTACAGCATTACCTGCTTTGTAGTTAAACTTGTCAAATTGTAATCTGTTTATTGTATGTCTATGTAAAGTTTTAGCACACTGTAAGGTAAGCTCTTGGCTACAAGAGTTTGGATTAGAGGAACCAAAGAGTCTGGGTTGGCTGTAAGAACAAAGAATATGTTTAGTTGTATTTATGTGTTTTCTTTGTCTGACACACCTTATTGTTTAATTGTTTTTGTTAATTGTAAGACCTGTAGGCTTCTCTGTGGGCCTATGTAGTAAACCAGTGGGCCTATGTAGTAAACCAGTTATATTAAAAAATCCTTTCAGTGTTGAATAAACACTTTGAAAATCCTGCTTTTCTCACCTTCATTATTATATAATGTTACATTTCACCCTGGGTATGTTATAACTAACCCAGACTATGGGGTGAATTGTAACATTTTACTCCTTTTGTTTGAAACTAAACTGTGCATTTTCTGTCTGTGTTGCAGAGACAGCTACTCCATTTAATAGCAGACACATGTAACTATCCTGTATCACATTCTGAACGCACTGGCTAAAAAGAGCTCTGAGATACAGACAGAAATGTCACAAATGTAACGACCATCCCTGGTCTCCCCTCTGGTTCATGCACACAAACATTATGTACAATTAGGCAATTCGTGATTAAGGACATGTTGTCAATTTGTGCACTCAGTTATTTTCTGGTCCTATTCAGGTCACAGGAACAAAATGTAACAACAAAACTGTCTGCTTTGTTAAGCAAAAATGTCATTTTTCAGTTTTTGATTAAGGGAATAGTTTGGATTATTTCTATGCTGAGCTGTCAGTGATGCAAACTATTCATTGAACCTGAAGTCATTTTTTTGCTTTTGTCTGAATTACACCACAATTAAACAAGACAGTCAGCCTGCAGGTCTCCTCTGTTGGGATTGTTCTGGTGCAGGCTCCGCTCTCAGGGCTGCTCCAGATCAGGAAATGCATGCAGTGCCATAGATTTATATTTAATTCATAAGTCAACATTGTAACATGAAAACTATAAATTCTTTCTAGTTATTTGTAACAGTTGCTTTTACAACAGCAATTACATGGTAAAAGTTTTGTAAATGAGTGAAGCTGCAACCTTTCATGGTCACTGGACAGTAAAGCTGGGCTCTCATTTGGTAAAAAGGGGGGATGCAATAATTCTTTCCTCTTTCTCCTCTCTGAGCGCTCTGAGCTCCTATTGGTCGGTGTCATGAACATGTCATGCAAGACAACAAAATTTGGATTTTCCAGTCTTTGTGTCTGGACATCGTGAGTTGCTCTACATGCTGCATCAATAACTGCCATCATCTTCACTTCCAAACTCTCAAAGTGACAGCATTTGGCCTGATGCCAAAGATAAAAACAGGAACAAGGAAATATTTTAATGCTTCTGCAGATATATGTTGACATATTTCATTTGTTTTTCAAACATGCAAAATGTCCCAAATTAATTTACTTTTAAATTAATAAATGCCCTTTTATGAAGGCCTGCCGAATCAAACTTTCAGTAAAATGAATGAATTCTAATTTTGCAGTAAATGAAAAGACCCACATGATGACCTTTCACCTGACGACCTCATCCGTGACAACCCTCTTGTTTAGACACCGTTAGCGAATCAGCAGCACCTACAGGACACCTTCGATACCGCTGGGAAGTGGGGTTTGCCGCAATGTGCTTGTTGTGGGTTGTTAGATGTATTTTATAAGAAAGACGCAAAAGAGCGCATGCACAGTAGTTGTGTATATTGCTGTGTGTCACCTGTAGAAGTAACGTTAGCTGCAGGCTAACACTATGCTGCCAGCTAACATTACTTCCACACACAGATAAACAAAGGGGCTCTGTTCACTTCGTTCTTGCTGTTTAAGGGAGAAAAGTTTCATGGGCGTCGAGAGGTCTGATCTTTTTTATGTAATTTGACTAAACTTTTCATATGAACTAGGATATTTACATTAACTTAATAAAAACCTTGTGCCTTAAAATAATTATAACAACTTTGGTAAAACAGGCTTACTGATACTCCGACTTATAGACTATTTATCAGCCCTTTTTAAAATGATGAAATTCAGAAGAGTTTTGGAATAGATTTACACTTCAATAGCAACAGTAGTGTTTATAACAGGAAAACTAATATAAAAACTCAATAACTAGAAATACATATAAAAATGTCAGTGTCAATGTAAAATAATATTCCTGACATCAAAGTTAAGAGTGAAGAAGTAATGACCAAAAAGGTATGAAATGTTAACATGCAGAATTAATTATAGTTTATTTATTTAGACATATAATTAGACATACAGTATAGTCAATAAAAATCTAAATATATTCACAATGCAATATATAAAATCATTGTCACAATAGTGCATACTGTAGACACACAAGCAAGCAACACACAGACAGAGAGACACAGACGCACACCTCTGTCTATAGATTTGTCTGTCTCACTCGCACTGCGATGGCCACCCTCATCCTTTCCCCCGTTCATTTTTTCTTTTCAGATTATTTCCCACACTTTTTTGAATCTGGCATCTTATTTTCTCTACATGCGGCTCTCGGTGTGCAGCAGTCTCTGGGAGCGTCTCCCTCTTATTTTCTTGTAGCAGTCAGCCTTAACCCTAACCCTACAGCAGGTCAGTCACTGTGAGCCAGTCCCCAACACTCAACAATCTTTACATCTTTTAACCTGTTGAAAACAGACCGTGCTCTGGGCGAAATTACTGACTGATAAAAATTATTTTATCTAAGCGGGCGCCATCTTGATTATTGCGCAATACCTGCAATCTGCCTGCCTGCTCTCGACATTACTGCAGAGAGGAAACATGGGGCCTGAGAACACACGGTGTTTTCGCCATTTTGTGGCAGATCCGTTTGAGATACATAGACATGCTGGGTTCCGTTCTCAATTTACAGGCCTGGAAAGCATGAGAGTGCTTTTGGTGACAGGAATGTTTATGAATAATCACTGTTTTTATCAATATTTCAATGTTTTGTCATTTGGAACTTGGTTGTATGGACAGAAAAAGTGTTTTAAAGATGTCTACCAATTAAAGTCAACATTTTAACAAAATATGGACATTTGCCTGGTATATTTGAAAATGTTGTATGATAACTGTTGTATTTTAGTTTATTTTCATCAGATTTACAGTTACAATTGCATTCTAGTTGTATTAGAAGATATTCAGTAGCATTAAAAGCTTCCTTATGATGGTTTTGATGGTTTATTGCATTAAAATACAGCTTTTTTTACCAGGCGAGGATGAAAATATCAGATTTTTTCTTTATTGCATCTCCATGTAGTCTGTAATAGTAAAGTAAATTTATTAATATACAATTGATTTATATTCCTTAGCTTCTAACTTTTCAAAGGAGACCAGAATTATGCATGTAGGCCAAATGGTTGAGGAGTTATTCCTGAT